GGAGGGTTGGACTAGATGACCCACAGAGGTCCCTTCCAACCCCTACTATTCTGTGATTCTGTGATTCTGTATCAAAAGTCTGTAATAACAGGCAATCAACAGCTGCCAATTAAAGGACCAGTTACTTTTAGAGATCTGCGAAGTTTTGCTAACTTCACTGGAAGTAAATTAATCTGATGCACTTTTAAGCAATGGATGCTTTCTTCCTTCTCATGCAGCTTGCCTTCAAAGCTTTATCCTGAAACAAGCTGAATGCTTGGCTTTTGAGTAATATACACTGCTCACTTTGAATATGAACGAAAGAACCTGTTTAACCTAAAAGAGAAAAAGCTTGTTTTCTCTCTTTCTCTTGCCTTTTTCTCTGTTTAAAGAGTTTAAAAAACCAAAGTACCCAGAAAACTAGCAAAGAAAATTGCAGTTACATTTAAAGAGAAGTAAGAAAAACATTCCCCTCAAAAAAAAGTTTGTTGCATTTACTGGTACACCAGCAAGTTTATTCAATCTAAACTCAAGGTGTGTGTAGAAGGATGAATGCGAGCATACAGGAACTTCTTTCTCAGAAGCTGCACGGTTCACAGTTCAACTCAAGCTAAACATTAACATTTCCCCAAGACACTAATAAAGACAAACCACGCAGTGCTGGCTCCCTTGCTACTACCTTGAGTTCAGGTAGCTCAGAGAAGTAGCAGGAAGATTTGACTGCCTGCACCTTTCCATGGAGCTAGGCCACCGCCTCCTGAAAGTAACTTAAAACCACATTAAAAAGACTTGTAAGAAATGTTACACTCATTTTTAGTGTCTTCAGGCACTAATGTCAATATGTAGTGAGTCTCTTGTCTGTTATTCATATTTGCTAGTATGTGTCTGACTTGTGCAGTAATTCACTATATTGTCTGGGGCTTGCTGTTACAGCTCACCTAACAAAATCCATGCACCTTCTTTTCAATCTGAAATATTGATCAGGGGTTATACTTGTTTTAGAAAAGCATACTCAGGAACCTCAACACTGAAAGAAAAGTTGTGAGAAAGGCTATTACTGTGCAATATAAGCTCCCACTGAGGCCATAAAGGTACCTAGTAAAAAACATTTTTTTAGAAATAGGATATGTCTATGCAAAGCCAGCAGCCTAGGAACAGAAAACATAAGAAATGAGGAACAGGAAAAGGAAGAAGTAAAAACAGAGAAAAACAAGAAAAGAAAAATTTTTTGAATGGAAAATCAAATATTTAGTTCATTCCAGCCCTATTTTGCATAAGAATACAAATGTGGAGAGAATGGAAGGAAGTTCAAAACGTTTTGTCTGTAAAATATATAACTGAACATGTAGTGTTTAAGCTCTCTGCTTTAAAACGGCTTAAAAAAGTGCTGGGTTCAATGCTACTGTTTTGTACAAAGGACAGGGGTTCAGAATCACAGAGTCACAGAATGTTAGGGGTTGGAAGGG